TTTGGTATCAAAGGCTGATATTGTTTCTTTTTTCTCTTCTATTACAACACTAAATTTAGTGTATAATGAATTGGTGATCGTAATGGGGATGCACTCTTTCTCTATAAATTCAGTCTTAAACATTTCATCAATCTTCGTTGAACTAAAGCTTGGTGTAATATATCTACGTACAAAAGTTCATAAACCAAACGTGTCGGCCTTTTGCTAATACTGATATGACAACATCGTGACGGAATGTTTTCTTTGACATAATATTTCTATATAGTTTTGGTTTACGTGATACATTCAGATTATTTAACTGCTAAATTGCATTGTACGCGACTATGCGTGTGTATTTAAGACCTCATGTTACAGGAAAGCAATTCCTTATGCCACATTCTATAAAATAAGTAACACTGACGCATATTTGTGCCACTGATTTGCAGAAAATAAAAAAGGAAGATGCTAAAAATAATTTACTATTAATGTAAAGTATAACTATACATACTGTTAGAATATTAACTTATAGTATGGACAAGCATCAACTTTCAATGGATTTCCTTTTTTGCTAATAAATTTATGTGTCCACATATTTAGTAGATACTTGCAAATACTTCAGAAATAATTTTCGGCCATCCGCCAGAGACATAGGAACTTTATAGTTCCTGCATTTCTGTCTATTCTCATTTCAAATAGAAGAATCTCAATATTTCCATTGATGCAAACATTCAATTTTCATGAATGGTACACGGTGGTAGAAGGTAGCGCAATAGAATATTGCACTATGAATGTGTTACGGGCTCAATTCCAGAAAAGGATTAGTGTTTGTTGTAGTTGGCGACCTTTGTAAAATATGCGACGTCGCACTCGGTACATGTTGGCCAATGTGAGGGCGCCCACCCCCCACATGGCCTACGCTCGCTCCATCTCCCCACCACTAGCATACATCTGAAGAAGGGCCATAGACTCTTGTGCTTGCCGCTTTTCAGCCAAAAATCTGCCCGAAGCTTCTTTCAACTGCTCCAAGAAGATTCTGAAATAATTCGTTAAAAACGAATAACGATACCTCTTGGAATTATATGAATTAAACAACTATGAAATTTGATTTCGTTTACCTGTCTGGTACTATATCGGCTAAGCTGTCTGGATCCATATCGCTCAGTAATTCTAGATCGCTTCCACCTAGCAACGATATATGCGACGGGTCACCGTGCAATGATGAAACCAATGGTTCTATCGGTGGTCTATGCCTTCTCAACTCATCTCCTCTTAAACCACTTTCTATGTTGTCAACATCATCTACAACAATATACCGAGAAGCAGCTTTACTACTTCCAGCTGCTATCCATTTTTGATCTCCATGCAGAACCATTAAACTAGTGTTTCTTTCTAATGTTGCAAAATATTCTTCGTCATCTACTTCTGTGCCTATAAAAAGAAAAAGAAACAAGTGAAAAATGTGTTAACGATATCCATGTTTGTACAGTGGCATCAAGGAAAATTTGAATCAAAGTAAACTGTGATATTATTACGTTACCATCTTGTTCTAAAACTATTGTGAGTTCTGCATCCAAGGGCAACGACAAACGGCTTCTTGCAATACTAGTTAATTCTTTCAGAGAAGACGCAGTGATGCCCTTACGCTTTTCTCTAGCATGATCAACAATTTTGTAAGGGTTGCCCAGCCCCTGTGATATTCCTGCTGTTTCCGACATTGCTGTTTCAAATTACAAGTTAGAAAAATCTTAAAACAACTCACTGGAATGTCGGTATGTTTTTCTAGGCGAAACAAATGTAGGTCAACTATATATTTATATATATATATACATATATATATATATATATATACATATATATATATATATATAGATATAGATATAGATATAGATATATATTAAATTTCTGGCATCGAAAGTATACTTTCATTAAAAGAATTGACTGCTACTAAGGCTCGATTATCGTTGCACATTATTTTTTATCAACGTTGGCGAGTATCGTCAAATCAATTTGCAAATTGCACTACATTTGCAAATGTCAACTCGTTATTGGCCACAAAGAATCTTCGTAGAATTTTCGTTAGAAAAACATTACAACGATACTTGAACGCACTAGGTATAAAGTTGTATGGTTTGAATGTCAGTTCAAAGAAAGGGCAGTGGTTTGGAGATTGCGTTAGATTGTTGAGTTTTACTGAGATTCTCTACGATGTTTAACCATTTACAGATTACGAATAAAAAATTTGGAAAAGCTTATAAAGATGATTAACGTTCGAGTGACTGAACTGACCGTATGTCAACTCAACACTGGGTCAATGGTGCAACTACCCCTCCTATTTATATTCTCTGTAGACTATCGCGTACGGTGCTACTGAGAGACAGCCTCACGTATACTCACGTATTCCCTCCCAACATGGCACCTACGCGGAAATCAATAACCAACCCTACTCTAACAGTAATATTATTTTTTCTTTTATTTTATTACTATTAAACTGTTTAGATTACAGGAAAATTATTTCTTCGATATTAATACGATAATAATTCAATACAATAAATTTCAAATGAATTATATTGCACATAATAACATCCATTATGTATCATCAATCATACATAGGCATGTATGTACATATATGTATAGTTCGATATTTGTTGTACATATGTAGTATTTTTATAAAATATAGAAAGGATAACCGACCAATTATTTTTGAACATATTATATCTATATTTAATTTTCTATGGAAATACCAAAGAGAGTTGTATACACTACCTATGTGTATACATATTACATTTTAAACCCAATGAAAATCATTCATGCAATGTACATAAATACTGTTTTTATCTAGCTACATTTATTTATAAGTAATTTTTACACTTTACATTGGAACATGACATGACTTCAGACATATCAGAAATATTTGAACATTCGCATTTGTTTCCAAACAACAAAATGTGTTAACGATCAATTGATAAGAATTTTTTTTATTTTATAAATATAGTACTAAAATGAAATTATTATAATTATCGTGGTAACATGTTCACTTTTACTAGGATCTCAGAATTTAAGACACAGCACTGTGGTTAAATATAGATCAATGAGACTGGACACTGTTTTAAGTTTAAAGTTAGCTCGGAGTTAGCCCAGTTAGGGCTCTTAGCTTAGCCGCAAATCTCATTCGAATGGAGCTGATTGTATGTGTATAAAAATTGAAGAACTTTCGGTCAGAGATGCCTTTACCAAGTGGGAATAAAGAACCGGATGACAGTCAAACATGGGAATTAGCAGAAAGATGTTTTCTTCCAATTGCATTTTCTCATGCAGTTGCAGTTATCTTAGCAACTATACTGAATACATTAGGTATATCGCAAACATCCAGTTTTGTGCTATTTCTCTTACTTCTGGTTATATCCATAGGATCTACATTGTTTTATCATAACTTGAAGGTACGTTTCTCAGACTATGTATGCATGCATGTATGTATGTATGTATGCAAGTGATCCAAACACAATTGTAAACTAATACTCACGCAACATTGTTTTCAATTTACTAATCTGTTATAAAAAATCTGCAAAAATATTGCTATTAAGTTTTAATCATAGAAACATAGATTTCTTCTTATTAATGGAGCAACCATCTATTAACACAAAATGTACAGGTAACAGCTGCTGGAAAAGCTGTGCTTATTACTGGATGCGATTCGAGAGTTGGATATACTTTGAGTAAACAATTAGATGAATTGGTAAGATTAACTTACTATATGTTATCACTATTGGTATCATTTTATATTTATATTATACTATGTCCACATACATATATTTTTAAGGGATTTACAGTGTTTGCTGGATTCTGTAACAAAGCAGAAAATGATGAAACAATGCAGAAATTGAAACAGGAAACATCTGGCAGGTTGCATATATTACAGTTAGATGTTACTAGTGAACATGATATTCATTCAACCTTTCTTTACATTAATGAAAATTTACCAGATGGTGCACCAGGTGTGTAAACTTAATTGCTATAAATAAACAAATATAAATTCGTTTTCTCTATACTCTCTCTCTCTCTCTCTCTCTCTCTCTCTCTCTCTCTTTCTCTCTTTCTCTCTTTCTCTCTCTCTCTTTCTTTTTTTTTTTATTAG